TTATTATTATTAAGGAAGTATGTCCGACACGTAATCGAGTAAATATGTGAGGCAGCGTGGTGAAATCAGGCGCTCGTCAAAATAATGAAATTGAAGAAACTGGCAATTTTCTATCAGTTTGGCAATTTTTGTCGAATTTTTGTTTTTTGGCTTAACACCATAGTTGTCCAATTAAGAACACATCAGTATGAGGATTTTTACTGAAAAACGTTCATTAAAGGTACAAAAATGTAAGTTTTCAGTGTTCATGTGCTATGAAGCTAAGGAAATAACCAAACTCTGACTGTCATTTTTTCGCTTATTCTACTTTTGAAATTAGGCGACCCCACCTTCTTCAATCTCAAATATCTTAACTTCTTTAAAAGATAGATTTGGATTATTTTCACCAATAGAAAGACAACTGAACAACCTTTAAGATAATACCAATAACTTCACATGCCCTAAAATTGACGAGCGCCTGTTTTCACCACCTCCTGCCACATAGTTTCGTCTCTTTGGAAGAGGCCCCAAAGTTTTCGTGGAGCCAGTTCGGCCATGGTACTGTGAGTCAATTGTTTAATTGGTTACTCCAATGTTTCTCCCACATGTTGAAGGTGTAGTTTTTGTTTTACTTTCACTGTATTTTTAAGGTCGGTCTGTGGGAGAGTGTTCGTCCTTGGTCCCAACAAAAACGACAAGGATTCCTTCGCCAGGAGTTCCATCTGCTCGATTCCTCAGATGCCCACAAGGCTTGGCAACCATATCAACACGATACTTTTTCCGGTTATACGTGTAGTTAAAATGTGTATTCTGGAGTGTATGAGTTTGTAATTTGTGAGTGAGGTGATGCATGCAAGATAGGGAATCTGACTGAATAGGAAGAGGTGTTCAAGGTGAATTTTGTACGCAGTGCAATGCCCTGTCAATGGCAGTGGCCTCCGCAGAGAAATGGAGGCTTTCTTCTAGAGGGATTCTCCCCTGGGGTGTACTGTTGGAGGACAGGGCGGCGGCGCCCACAGTTGAGTCCGATTTAGAGCCATCTGTGAAGATTAGCTCTGCATTTTCTTATCTCATCTTACGGAGATCTGTTACTGCCTTCCTCTTGGCGCTATTGTAAGGTTTCAACGTGTCAACGAAATTCATGTGTTGCGTGGTGCCTCAATGGTAAAAGAATACATAAGCTGGCATTATTTTCAGCTCATGCATGATTGATAATAACTTTTTCACGTCTGTCATTTATGAATTGCCCTTACTCCATGCTGTTTGTATTGGCTAAGAATATATAATTGTATCGGGTTTTTAATAATGAATGATTGATGATGCACTTTGTCCTCTTCTCTTATTCGTGTTAATAGTTAAGTGTTAAGGCATGACAGTAATTTATGCTCGCGTTGAGAATTATGGTCTAAAGAATTAATTCTTTAATTCCTTAATTAATGCAAATATGTGCATTCATATATCAAAGTTGATATTTGTGTGTTTTAAGACTTCTTTCAAAGTGTGTTTGATTTTTATCTGCCAGAATATTTTTATGTTCAGTCAAGGTGGACTGGAAGAGAAACTTTGTTATCTCGTTTAAAGGCGCAACTCGTCCAGCACTCCACACTGATCCATAGAGAGCAATAAACAGTGCTTTGAATAGCCAGAGAATGAACACGTTGAATTATTGTCAATAGTTTTTGCTTTGAATATTTTGACTATTGAGAAAAGTTGGAAAGAAAGGGCCAAGACCTCAGAGAAAAGCAAAGATAGCCCACCAATAATAATTTATTTTTAAAATACAGAGTTGGGCTTTCCTTACAAAGGCTTCCGCACCTATCTGTCCCCGCGGTTTTATACAAAACAAATTCTGAAATTACGCAAACTGAGCCCAAAAATGTGAAATTATGCGATTCCGTTAATTTTAACAAAGAATGACAAAGGAAACAAATCAGAAATTATGCAAAAAATGATTAAAGTTAGCTTAATTATGCGGGGAGCATAAAACCCCGGGGACAGCTCTATCAATACATGAACGGGTGATGGGTGGGGGTGGGGGGTACAGTAAAATGTAATTGACGACTCATCAGAGCTCTGCAGCTGTATTTGTTTGCCGTGTTTACAAAATTCAGACCCAACACCTTTTTGTGACAATCTTCCTTTGGCTTCAGGTTACTCCTTTTATTTTTTTTTTATTTTTTTTGGGGGGTAGTAAGGTTTTACGGTGCTCGCAACTGCATAAGGTTGTATGAGCGCAAAGGGGTGGATGTCAACACAGAAGTCCATATAGGGAACCAGGTTTACTCTGCTCACCTCTCTAGCTTCAACACCACAAGGTCTGCTTTGACTTTCAAGGCACCCCGGAAATAGCGGGTCACAAGAGTGTGACAAACATACAAAAGACGTAGAGGAAATTGACGATAGTAAGGATTAGGAAAGAAAAAACAGCAGTTCCCTGTTGTAGTTCAGGCACAGTTAGTAGCA